TGCTACTGGTGTTATATTTAGGAAGAGATATCCTATGCCAATGTGTTCAAGACTACTTCCTACTTTCTCTTCTAGCAGGTTCAGAGTAGCTGGATTTATGTTGAGGCCTTTGATCCACATGGACTTAAGTTTTGTGCACAGTGATAGATATGGATCTATTTGCAGCCTTCTACACGTTGATATCCAGTTATGCCAGCACCATTTGTTGAAGATGCTTTCTTTTTTCCACTGTACACTTTTGGCTTCTTTGTCAAAAATTATATGATCATAGGTGTGCAGATTAATGGCAGGGTCTTCAATTCGATTCTGCTGGTCCACATGTTGGTTTTTATGCCAATACCAAGCTGTTTTTATTACTGTAGCTCTATAGTAGAGCTTGAAGTCAGGGATCATGATGCCTCCAGAGGTTGGCAATTTTACCAAAAGCAATCTACAGATTCAATGCAATCCCCATCAAAATAACAACACAATTCTTCACAGACCTGGAAAGAATAATTCTCAACTTCATATGGAAAAACAAAAAAACCAGGATAGCCAAAAGGATCCTGTACAATATCTCCAACTCTTTTGCCTGCTCTTGGGACTACTTTTCTCCAATTGGGTTGCATCTACTGCTCCAGTGCCATGGATGCTGCCATTATTCCCTGCCAAGATCATAATGAAGCTCTGAAACTGTAAGGAAGCCCCTAGTTAAATGCTTTCTTTCATGAGAATTGTCTTGGTCATGGTGTCTCTTCACAGCAATAGAACAGTGACTAAGACAGACATCTAAGCTGTTTCCAATTTCTGTCTATTATCAATAGAGCCTCAGTGAACTTCAGTGAGCAGGTATCTCTGTAGTAAGACATAGCTGAGTCACACAGTAAACCTATTGATGGCTTTTTGTATAACCTCCACACTGATCTCAATCAGTGTGGCTATACCAGATTGCTCCCCACCCCCAGCAATGAATAAGTGTCCCTCTTTCCCCACTTCCAAGTCAACATTTGTCTCATTGGTTTATTTTTTTTTTATTTTTAATATAGCCATTCTGACTGGGGTAAGCTGAAATCCCAAAGTTATTTTTTCCTTTTTGTTCCCTTGATGTTTCTCAATCATTTGTGCTTCATCTTTTGAAAACTATGGTGGTTGAAAAAGAATGTTTGAACATTGGCTTGTATATTTTAATGCTTGGTCACCAGGGAGTGGAATAGCTTGAAAGGATTAGGAAGATTAGGTGTGGCCTTGTTGGAGGAAGTGTGTTGCTAGGGATAGGATTTGAAGTTTCAAAAGCCGAAGCCAGGCTCAGTGTCTCTCTTTCTCTTTATGCTTGCTTGTAGATGTCTCAGCTACCACAGTACCACACCTACCTGCCACCTTGTTCTCCGCCATGATGATAATGGACTGTCTCTGAAACTGTAAGCAACCACCAATTAAATACCCCCTTTCACAAGAGTTGCCTTGATCATGGTGTCTCTTCACAACAATATAGTAGTGACTAGACAATAAGTATCTGTTTAGTTCTATACCTCACTTTTAAATAGTATTATTTGTTTTCTTGATGTCCTTTTTTTTTCCATCACAGGCAATTTATTTTGTTCTATTCATTCACAGTTAATACAGAAAA